GCTGAATTATCAGTGGGAAATCTTCATTTTTCTGTTTCCCCCAAAATGGCTAGTTCGCAGGAGCCATGAAGGTGTCAACCCAACAATTTTTTAAAAGGTTTTTGCCATAAGGCATGTGTACTTGTGGAGAGAAACAGAGAGACAGAGGGAAAGTGAGAAATCACCCTCTGGGGGGATGTGCACACCACAATCCCTTCTCTTACATTCTCCTTTTAAGATTTTGGGCACACACATGTACACATGCCCAGTGATTTTCAGGCTGCTAGGTCCAGGACTCAAACCGCAGTCAGGTATGTGGGAGTCCAGCACCTTAACCACCAAGCCACCCACTGGCATGGTATTAAAAACAAGTTTAAAGTTCCATATAAATCCATGCCATTACTGGTAATAAGTGCTCTTTGCCATGTTCTATGGCTCAGAGAAGGCTTACAAACAAATGACTAAAATTTGATCAGTTATGCATATGTAAAGTCATCTCAGTTCTTTAGTCTGTACTTAATCCTGTCATACACTCAGATCTTTAAAGAATGCAAAGAGTAGTTTATTTTTGAGTTTTCCTCCAAATGGCAATCAAACGCTAGGACATCAATAGAGTTTGGAGGGAAAAAAAAATTCATAGTGTAGTGTGCCTTCATTAGGTTGCCTTACCACAAAGTTAGAGGAAATAATCATGAAATATATTTAATATACAGAAGGAAAGGCTAAGTATAAAGGACTTCTAGCATATCTAAGTGCTATCAGAATATTAAGATTTTTCATTTAAAAATGGAGACAAGTTATCTCAGTCCCAGATGAAATGCAAATAATACTTGCAAATACTGAAATAGTAGTCAAGAGGGAATTCTGTCTTGATTCTCATTTCCTCAGTAAGTTTGGTAAGTTGCTCTACTGCTAAATTTTCTTCCTCATTAGTGAGACTGTCATGAGCAATAGACCAGAATTACAATTTTTTAAAAGGTTAATTATTTATTTTTAGTTTTTGCCATAGGGCATGTGCACTGGTACATGTGCATGCACGTGCAAAAGAGAGAAAAATCATCCCCCAGGGGAGTTGCCATGCCAAAACCCCTTCTCTTCCACTCCTCTTCGGATTGTGGGCATGTACACACATGTGCCTGGTATGATGTTTTTTTTCATTTTTTCAGCATTATTTTATTTCACTTTATTTGTTTGTTTGTTTTAATTTGACCAGAGTGGGACAGAGTGAGAGAGAGAGTCAGAAAGTGAGAAAGAAAGCTGCCAGGTTTGGGACTTGAACCATGATTAGCCACGTGGGAGTCCAGCACCCTTAATCACCACACCAAATGCCAGCCCCCTGGTATGGTTTTCAAGCTGCAGGGTCTGGGACTTGAACCAAGCATTTGGCTATATGGGAGCCAGCGCCTTAACCACTATACCAGCTGCTGGCCCCACATATAGTTTTTAATTTTTTTTTTTTTTTTTTAAGTTTACTTATTTATTTCTTCTATGAGCGAGAGAGGCAAACAGATGAACCTCACCTCCTGACACTGTGATTCACCTGTAGCCTCAGGCAGTCTCAGATCTTGGGCACTCACAAGCCTGGCATGCTCAGGG